TTCAATGAAATTAATTCGCATTAAAATCAGAATATCAGAAGAGATATCAGTCGTACCGACACACCGATATATGATAATATGTCATGTAAAACTTTCTCAAAGCAATTTTTTATATTATTATTATTATATTTATTTGGATATAATGTACCAAAGCAATAGTAGCTAGCTGATAAATAATAAATTACATAGACAGATAATTAACAGATATGAATTCTAATTTGCAAACGAGTTATGATAGAAATATACCTTTGGAAACTCGATTCAATATCATGTCAAGCAGACAGAATGTACCAGTCCGTCCGGTACCATCCGTACAATGTACAACTATTGGAGCTGCTCGTCCACGATACGATTTATTGATTTTTCTGTAAAATTGTCATAAGGTTTCATTTTAATTTTGTAGAAAATTTTTTTCAATACGGTGAACTTTTTTATATGTATTCAGTTGAACTTGTTTTATATTGTAATAACAGTTTCGGAACATACAATTAGGGCAGTAGGAGAAATTAATACAAAACACTTCGCTCTACAAGAGGCCATATCTTTACATTATGATTCCTATTTTACAAATGACAATGCTGTAAACTTTGACGTATATGTATAAAGCATTAGCGAGATGGCTTAAAACAAATCAGTAACAGAAGGGAAAAATGAAATTTTTTTTGCTGATTGAATTTTCTATTTCTTTCATGATGGAAAAAACAAATTGACTATTATGGTCAATATATATAAGTAAGGGAGCAGAGGAAAGTGAAATGTAAGACGGACAAGGGTGGTTAGTTGGAACGAACGACGCTTCCCGTCCATCACTTTTGTGACTATGCAATTATTCGAGAACAAAATTGCTAATCCACAAAAATGATCGACGAGCGGAGGCGTCTCATCCATAAAACACTGAAAAATTGCAATAAAAATGTCACATGGAAACAGTCGTTATTCGTTACTCGAAAATCGTTCAACACATGTCCTCACGAATTAAATTGGAATTACTTATCCCATAGTATTAAATGATGACTGTCTCTGATATGTGATGTTGATGTTTCGATTTGGAATATCATGCAGAATAGGGAGCCGAAATAACTTACTTGATTATAGAAATTTTTGAAGAAGAAAATATCAGTGAAAACACTGTCATTGATTGCAATTAAAGCAGTCGTTAGAATCGAATCCTTTTTACTAATACATTCATATACTTCTTAATATTCTATTTAGATAGACACTCTAAATTGATTTGAAGTTGCTATATGATGCCTATTAAAAAAAAGGAACCTGCGAAAATCGAGTAGAGCTTTGGTATTGGGTGGTACACCGCCTTTGGGCCATGTTAAGAAATGAAACTGAGTTACAGTTCGAGTTTCGTTCGTTCTCAAATTTTTTAAATAAAACGATCGTACTAAATAGTCTTTGCTCCAAATGTGCTCCGACACCAAATGAATCTGCAGAAAATAATTTAAGTAACAATGCTTCCTTGTTCTTTTATGCTATTTTAAGAATAATTATAAATGATGGCACAATGACCCTCAGTTCTAATCATCAAAAAGTAAGTTTGAAATTCTCGTAGAAGTTAAAATTTGTAACATCCTTTATTACTGTATGCAAAATTGACGTAAACGCTTCCCAATTTAACTTTATCGCATTAAGATGGCACCGTCAAATTGCATAAATAGAATCATTAAGTGAAATTTTTACATGCGTGAAGTGAAACACTTTTATACTAATTTATAATCCTCTCACTCGCTCAAAAATAAATTGTCTTATTCATTTTTTTTCGCTTTTTATTTTTCTATTTAACAAAAAATATTTCAGCAAAATTGGAATGAAAAAATAAACTTCGAAAGATCCGTGTATCTGTGAACCACTTTCAGGCCAATACTTGAGGCATCGCTCTTCTTGTTCGTCATCGTTGTTTGTTAAGTTCACAATTAGCACAGTAACCTGAGGTTTGAAACATTCTATCTTTCATGTCACATTTATAGCTCCACACATGACACCAAAATGTGAATGTTAAATTTAAATTCATATTCATAAAATATAATACAGAACTACTAACAACTTATCAAGTGAGTTGAGAATGAAGCATATTAAATCAAGGCATACATTGAAATTAAGTGAGAAAGCAGATCTGAATTAGTGATTCATTGGTGTGAAAGAATTTTCTTGCCTGATTGTCATAATAACTTGTCATGCAAAACTTTTCCTGTCCTTTCCCTAATCTTCTCCATGGCGACGTCGTGTAAAATTTCTTTTTCACTCCCGAACTTTTACATAATTTTAATTGTTGAATAAATTAGTTCATATGTCACTAAATTTTAACATAATAACTCTCTTGCACTTTCCAAATTAATTTCATTTTTCTGAAATCTCTTTATCTTTTGTTGATTGCTTACTTTTGCATTTATACCATTGATTAAAAAATGTAAGTCTGAAATTTGATATTAGTAGGTTTCTTGTTTTTAAAACGTCTACTTGATACTGCGGCCTACTTTTATAAAAAGTGAAGAAGAAAATTGAAGTTTAAAATTGAAAGCTGTAATGTTGTCAGTCACTGAAGCAATAACATTTAATGTACTATGATGTGATAGAAACTTAGAGTGATATGATCATGATATGCTATCATTTGCAGTTATGAGTGTAAATTAACTATAACGATGATAGAATGAGCAGAAAAAAAGATTGCAATTTTGTTTTAAGACTTAATGCGAAATATAAAGAGATGGAGAAATTGATATAAAGTGAAATCGTATGATCATCCGGCCGGATTAATGATTGTTTAAAAATAATCTAAAATTAACACTAACTTGTTCCCAAATCATTTGCCAGAAATCTGTAATGGTTTCTGGAAGTGGTGATTGTGTAGCGATATAATTGGCTTGTTTCGGATCGCAGTCATGGATTGCTGATGCATTGATATATGTTGAATCATTCACTAACTGACGAACACTGACCAATGTATCGTCATCTGAAAAGCACTATTTTGACCATATTTGATGGATATGTATTTGTTAATGGAAATTTTTAGCATCTGTATGCTAAAAATTTTGAAAGCATTTCAGTTATTCTTCCATATATCATTTTGTATTCCCACATTCGAATGTATTTCATTTTCTATAAAAAAAAAAATTGAATAAGTAAGACTTTTGCTATTGTCTATCAATGATCAATTTCATCGCATCATTTATTGGAGGAATCATTGAATGAAAGGTTAAATTTTAACTCTTTTTTTTCATTGTTTTTATTTCATTTGAAAATTTAAAGAAATTTAAACGCAGTAACTGGGAGGATTATCCGAAATGATCAATGTTATTCGCTGTAATAACCTTTCCTGCTAAAAGATGCAACCGGAATAGTACTTATAGGAAGAGTTTCGATGTTTTTTTATAAATATCAACTTTAATCAGTTTTTTTTATAAATATCAACTTTAATCAGTTACTTGGACTAATTGCTATTATATGGAAGTTGTAGAAAAATATATTTTATTTTGTATCGATTGATATCATTTAGCATAAGACTCTTTAAAAAATGCTCAATTTAGATTTCATGAGATTGTTTAGCCAAATGATAGAGGAGAAATTGTTGTATGGGAAGGAAATGCTTCAAGCATCTGTCATTGTCATATTTAGTATGGAAAAGAGCTTTACAATTCAATAATAGTACTGAGTGCAGTGTGAACATAAATGAAATTGAATTAATGAACGAAGCTTACATGGAAGACAAGATAGATTTCGATTTTTTTTGATATTTTCTTCTTCTCTGGCAATTGATGATATTCCGTTCGGATTTGAATATTCGTTTAGTGTTTTCCATTGTTCTTCAATTTTTGATGTGTCATTCAAATAGTCACGAAGGAATGACTAAAATTTAAAAATTAAAAAGTATAAAATGAGTGTGGTGCTGAAAGCAGTTGTGAGGAACAAATAAAAATTCATATTATGAGTGTATGAAATGAAATGAAAATCAGTAAGATAAAACTGACAAAATTACACATAATTTATAAGATAAAAAGAAGAATAAATAATGGACTGTTTCACAATTAAAACATTATAATAAATATTTGAAGTGCAAAAAAGCAAAATACACTTACCAGAATGACATGACCGGTTGAGATATCGAGACTAGATTGACCAATCGGTTCATCGACCCTTAAAATTCTAAGTTTAATTTCTTTTTATATTACAAAATTTTAGTGCTTTTTATATGAAAATATTTAGCAAAATAAACGAACCAAGATGTTGCACTAGAATGATTATTAGCACGAGCGTCAGCGATATCTGCCGGTTCATGTGAATTCATCTGATACCGGCATAAATCCTGATAGGCAAGCAATGCCTTATCACCATACTTTTGAGAGTCAAGTTCCGGGATAATAGATTTGCGTATTTTCTTCCGATGTTCTCTGATCTGATGAATCGTCATTACTGCTATCAGTGCTACCAATGTCAACGTACTTACAGCAAGTATCGGAATAAAGAAACGATCGCGAGTTTCACTTTCAACCGGTACCGTTTCCTGAAAGATATTTTAAAGATATCATTTCGGGAATCAATAATAAAAATAAGATAGAGATAAATAATAATTAGAATATTATTATCCCAGTAGCTCTTGGAACATATAGATAATATATTTTTTATTTATTTCATCAAAGTATAGCTTACTTCTCCGCTTCCGATACCGGTTTCATCAACATGTACTCCAGAAATTGTTTGAATATCTTTTCGTCGTTTATCTATAACATTAATGGTAAGAGTGTAAAAAATTACCAAATTTCGTCATCGTAATTAGCAAATCTCAAATTTCGCAAATTATTTCAGGTTTGAATTTTAAAATAAAAAGAAAAAAGATTATACTCACAAACATCCTCTGCGATGCCACTCACTGAATCCAGGCGTTTCTCGTTTTGCGGAAATGTCAAACTTGATCGACCAGCTCGAAATGATAACTGATCACCATCCAGTCTGCGAAGTAAAATTACTTTAATAGTAAAGTAATAATATGATTCTAAATGAAATATGATTATTAAATTTTCAAAGTGTAGTAAGCAAACAGAAAAACTGGCCGGATTGTGAAATATTAGCGTGATATGATTATAACCATTAGGGGTAATTCATACACTGATTGATGATACACATTGCTAAGTTTCAAGCTTCCGGCAGTATATCTCAAGTGGACTTTGACATAATCTAAGTGTTCTACTTCTACAGAATATTCAAATAGGATTTGTTAAGGAAAGAAGCTTTGAACTAATGTGTCATATTCATTATTTCATGCGTTCCCGAAAAAAAAGATGATTAAGCGATGATACAGAAAATCGTCGAAAATAAGTTGGTTGGGTTTTGCAATTGAGAAATCCAAATAATTGATTAGATGATGCAGCTTATTATCATTCAGATCTTTGGTAACTTTCAGATACACTCGATTACCGTTTACTTTCTGATATGATGGCATTCCTTTTACTATTTTGTGCTCTATCTTTTCCAAGTCTAAAAAGAATTAAACTTTAGTGCAAATCACAAGAATAAAATTCCTAGCAATAAGTCCATTTAGTTAAATCAAATAAAGCATGAAACGATTGTTGATTACCATTTACTTCAAAAAAAATTTGCTACCAAAGGATAATTCTGTATTTTAATATAAAATTTATTAACTAATGAATTTCACTAGTTGCTGAAAAATAAATTGGAAGGTTTGGTTTACCGAAATGATATGTAAAAAGTGCAACAGTGACAGAAAATGTGCTGTAGTGAATGACGGGGCAATTCGATGAATTTAAATTGCAATGGTTAAAATTTCAGAAAATAAAAAGAGTATTAATTGCTGTACTACCTTGTATGACTCATTGTTAATAAGTCCTCAACATACTTCATCAATGCATAAGGCCAATAAATCAGTGTTTTAATGTCACACATTTTAAACGAACCATAGCAGGAATTGTTTTTTTTTAAACTGTAACTAACCTGTATTTTGATTACCAAGGTGCTCGATATCTTTCTTTAAAACAGGTGCATGATAGCCAACAAAATTCAACGATTCTTCTTCTTCTTCCTCACCAGAACTTTGAGCTGCTATAATTATTATTCCAGTTCAAAGTTCATTTTAATATAATACTACTAACACATCATCATGTTGATAACTGTTAGCATTTGTTTATGATTCCATTTTATTTATAATTATTTGATAGCTGCTACTATTGGAATTACGACTATTCAATCAAAATCGGTTCAAGAAACATTTTTTTGAAGCTAGTATTTTAGAGCAGTGGATAAGCCTTAACACATTAATCATGAAATAAGACAGACATCATTATTAACAGCAATAATTAACGGCATGAATGTAGCTAATGAAACGAGTCCTGGATCTATTATAATTTGGAATCATACCCAAAGGCATGAAATTTTCTACTGCCAGCATATCTTTATCAGTATCAATTGGTTTTTCGTCACTATCCCAATTTGCTGATTTGAAAATATGACTCTTATCGAACATATTTCTTTCGGGAATCGAGTTGAAATCATTTTCGTTATTATCTCTATCATCCGCCATCACATCATTTGTGGAATCTAGAAGAAAGCCAAGGGATACTTGCTTGCTTATTTTCCTCATTAACTCGCTAGAATAAATTTCGAATATTTATGAAAACAAAGCATGAATGAAATAACTTAAATATAAACATACACATAATTTATTATATTTTTTTCATGAAGACATTGCTCATGTAACTTAAAATTTAAACTGACTGAAATATGTTAAACATTTCCATATTTATCAATTATAGGATAGAGATACCTATCTGTTGTTGCTGTTGTTGTTGTTTTATAAAATTATTTATCAATTCGTTATCTGACTCGACACTCGAGATATCTGTGACATCATTAACAAGTGTCATTTTTATTGACTGAAACAATTTTATTCTATATTATCGTATCAAAATTAATTCCCGAAGGGGGCGACTTTGATCATATTATATCTTAATCCTAAGCAAATGAAATCAGACATCCGCAAATTTGTGGAGTGATGAATTTGATATCGAAAAAGCATTCAAAATCTATGTTGGATACTCTTTAAATATGCTTCAAGCAATATTGCTCTAATTTTTCCCAATTATCCAACTGACTTGAAAAAAACTTTAAAACATCAATTTCGATGCAATAAGGCATCAAAATCGATAATTTTTCAAAAAATTTCTTCCTGGATTAATAATTTTGAATAGTATTTAATAAATTTCAAAAAGAAATAATTTGCATAGACTAAGGTTATATGACAAGCTAATTCTATTCGTCATCTCTCATTTCTTCAAATTTCCGACACAGAGAAAATAATCTTCCCAAGCGACTTTCATTGTAACATTTAATGTCATTTAATGTCAGGAACAATTTTATTGAGAGGAAAAAGTTGTCAGTCATGAAATCTTTCCAAAAAAAAGAAAAATACAACAAAATACAACTTAGAAGATTGATTTTTGATGTTCTTCATTGAAATCAATATTTTACAGAAAGTAATGTGTTTATTGAATATTTTATTATTATGAGTGGTATTTGGCTTGTCGTACTGCTATTCTACATAACATATTATGTGCAGTGTGTTTACTCAATGCATTGAATGACTGAATTAATTTTGGAAAAACAAAAAAATAATATCAACAAAATAATTCAACTGAATTATTGCTGTAAATAGGCGAGATTTTTCAAAAGACCAAACATAAAGATCCAAAAGTCAGTAGAATAAGCAAAAAGCCCTAAACTATTATTTCATTTTCACTATTATCAGATCTTAAAAATTTTATTTGGTTGAATAAGTTAAAATATAATTGATTGAATTGAAAATTTGATTAATTATAACCAAAAAATGAATAATTTGAAATAATCGTTACAACAAAATCAAAAATTTTCAATTAAAAAGTGCAAACAGAAATAATTTTCAAAATTAAACTGAGAAATTTAATGAATATTTGATTGTTAAATGTTATACTCTCTCATTTTTCCATCATTCATTATTTCAATACCGCAATTTCTTGTATACATTTATAGGATGATGTTCCAATAAAGAGGGAGAAAAAAGAACCAACCTGTAACATTCGCCAAATATTTTCCGGATTGACAACATTACAGAAGTCGAGATTATATTTGAGTTGCAACATTAAAACTATTTTGAAATATGTAATAACACATTGCACTCGAGCATCTTCCAAGGTGTAACCATCTTGACTAAGCTGTTCTAACTGAGAGCTTAGCACTTTCTTCAAAATATAATTAGCCGGATTTGAAACAATCAAAGCAACACGTTCTGTTGATGCACACTCCCCAAATAAACCGTCTATAAAAAATGATACTTTGTTTTCAAGAAATATTCGAATAGAAAATTTCAGAATTTAAATGAATTTCAAATTACTATGCACACATCAATTATTCAAATGAATTAAACCATTGATGACTGCTAATATTTTGACATTATCCGAATCATAGAAAACTCGTATTCATCATTAACATTAAATTATGAAATTTCATATGTTAGTTAACAGATAGACGTAATGTACATGTTATTTCTATTTTTTCCCTCGTTAATGCGCAAAATATAATTTAAATAGAAGTTTACGTTATCATGATAGTTGTCACAGCAAATAAAAAGATCAAAATTTTCTTCTCAAAACAGCAATTGCATGCAAATTTTTTTGTCTTTTATACAAAAATACTGTTTACAAAAATTTTCTATAAACTGTATCAAAAATTTGCCATGTCTATGTTCGACATTTAATCCTACCTATATTCTTATCCTCCTGATGTTTTTTATTTGGCTCTTTCATCTATCTATCTTTTTATCATTACTTTATTAGCTAGAGATTTTATCTGTCTTCCTACTATATAGCATTTTTCAATGCCTCTCGAAATTAAGCGTGGTACGATATTTGAATAATTATATTGCAGGATAGCTGAAAAATATTTTACACTTTTGGTTATTTTCTATATTAAACATGAAAAGTATAAGTTGTAAATTATTATATAAGAAATCAAATGATGCAAGAATACTTTTTTCTCTGTGAGTGTAATGAGATGGATTTAGCAAAAATAGTATGATTACTTTTAGTGAAAGATTATGAAACAACAAAAAAAAAATTCAATTCATGGAAGATTTTAAAGTAATGTCTTTTTTATTTTCGATAAAAATCTATAATTTCATTTTGTGTTCTCTGAAAAATTGTTGTTTTTTCCATTTTACTTTAATCCTTTGTCGAACAAAAAATTAGTGAGTAACATTTTAGTGTGATAATCCTTTTGGATGAGCATTATCAGCTCATCAGCAATACTGTTAGGCTTTTTGATCAATCCTCTCCATACTTTTACCAGCTAATGCATAAATTGAAATGACAGGAAGATTAAATTTAGTTTGAAAGATGATATCACATTATTAACGAAAGGTGAGTATCAGGACAGTTTTCATATTTTTAAATTATCGTATAAAATGAATTCAGCATTAAATTGAAAACCAAATATATATAATTTCTTGCCATCTCTTAAAATTCAAATTTTTTAAGCAGTTATTTTTCTTAAAAATTTAAAGCAACCTTGTACACAAATTTCGTCCTCTTCACACACTTCATCGTACAAAATGCAGCCTAAAAGAAAGAATCATTTCATTCTGAAAATTTATAATAATTGAATTTAAGCAATTAATGTGAGATTGATAACGAAGTTCGAAATAATTGATAACTGATATTGTGAGTTTCTTTCTTAGGTATAACGTTAAGCTATCTTCATTAAATCATGTAATTTTAAGTCAGTAAAGAGATAATCTTACTAAAATGAACTAGTAGAATAGCTATAGGGGAATAATTAATTATTGGCAACCAAAGATTATCAGTTAATTTATTTTCTCTTATATGCTGCTAAATTGCTTTTGCATTGTATGATTAGCAAGAATTATTACAAGCAGAATATTTATGACATAAGGAGACACTTTATGTAACGTGGCTTTGACAAATCATCTTGAAGATTTGTCATTCGTTGTTTGTCTCAATAGCAGTAGAATTTTAGCATTTAAGATAACTATGACTTGTTGTCGACATGCTTTAAAAAATTTTTAAGACTTCATTGTTAATTAAACTTCAATTTCAGAGCAAAGTATTCAAAAAAAAAAATAACTAATTTTAATCATACCGATAAGATAGCATAGTTAGCGTAACTTCTATTTTTTGCATTATCCTTATTTGTTCGATAAAAAAAGAAGTGACAAAAAATAATTATATTTCAATTTTTTGCATGATTACGAAGCCGTCATTATCCTGCTTCAAATATTTTGTAAAAGAACTGGGAAAAGATAATCAGAGAGCTATTGAAAATGTTGTGAAGCTTTGCTAATATAAGATATTAATTTCAGCTTTCAAATCATTATCATCATAATTGAAAGGAGCAAAATGAAGGAAAGGAACGAGAAAAGGAAAAGTATCGCTACATCCGTAAATCTTCTCAATAATTACTGAATAATTAACAATCTGAACAAACGGCAGAACATTTACCGTCATGAGCTACTTTTTCCAAAGCGCTTGTTTATTGTACATTTATCGCTAAAGATATCTTGTGATAAAGTTCTATTTCCGAATAAACAATAAAATTCAAATAAAGGTAAAAAGTTTAAGGATTAACATCCGTCAATGCATCTGCCATTGGATGTTATAAAAAAGCAAATATTAAAACAATTGCACTACTAATTCGCAGTCTTGTTAAATCCATCAAACTTTACTTTTATCTTGAATTTCATTTTTAAATACTAACTTACTTCTTTTTTCGTAAAATGGCATTAGTTTAGAGAATTATTTATACTTGTACTTTTTTCATATACTTCAATATGCCACCTTTCGCTCCTCATTTTTCTCCCCTCAAACGGGAACAATGAACAGACTATGTGATAGCCATGGAAATTCATGTGCAGCCAAGCTGAGCATTCACATTTACGCTGATATTTTGAACTTTCAAACGATAAATTATCATTCCAATAGTCGACTGTTTCTGAGAATGAAGTAAAATGCATAAATACTATTTGTTGCTTTTGAGATTAAATAATGTTAAGAAATTCTAGGACTTCTAAATTCAAAAATATTATTAGTTGAAACTAAAATAGTTCTTGGAAGTGCTTATGAAAAGTAAGCTTTTTCATGGAATTAAAAGGAAAGGATGAGAATGCGAAAAGTTCTTTTAAATATTCTGTCTACTTAATTTTTTCCAAACAATATAATCCAGAAATGATAATCGAAATCTCTCAACTAAGTTTGAAAGTATTTCTTGAGCATATTGAAAACAGAAGCAAAAGCCTAGTAGCAATTTATCAGTTGAAATGAGCAAAATCTATTCCAGCAATTGCTATTTTACATAGCTACTAAGTAAGTTGTTTACAAAGTACATTTTCATTAAAAAAAAATAAACCGAAGCTTATTAAAATTAACCCTGAGTACTCTGAAGATAGAACATATTTTTCATCGTCTTTCAAATGATATAGGTGATTTGACGAACAATTATGAAAAAGGTTACAAAATACAAAATTTTTTTTAAATTATCAAAATGTTCAGTTGAAATTTTGGTGAAGGAAGGATTTATTTAAACAGATAACGTTTCCTCATTTTCATTAAGCTTCAAACTGTGCTATTTCAATATTTAGCCTTACCAAGAAAACTTATTTATAATATCTTGACCATAATAATCCCTAACCTTATACGAAGATACAAATAGCTTTCTCTCAATGTATCCTCTAAAGAAGTAAGTTTTATTCAAGTTCAAGCTATTATATTAAAGAGTTTAATGATTTGATCAATAAATCTGTAACAATAAATCTGTTATTTCATATGAAATATGATATGAAATAACCCTAAGTTACAGATTTATTGATCAAATCATTAGTACTCTTTAATTTAATAGCATCATATTTGAAGCATTTGGTGATATCATTTCAAATTAAAATATTCTTCTTTTCAATTAATATTTTATTATTGAAGAGAGTGATCAGATTCTTTCGATTATTGAGGAGCAATGAAAGAATTTCCAATATTGGATCGCATGATCTCTCACTACTTCGTCCCGGATGTCTTCTTTAATAATTTATTAAATAAAAGAAAATACATTTATGAATGAGTACTCAGTGGGCTATTACCTCATACATTTTCATCTATACTACTCATAAATAAATTATAACAAGAAGGAAATAACAATCATTCCAGGAATCATTCATTATACTCCTCATTTTACTGTTTTTTTAACTTCTTGCTTGCTTACTATAAAATGATTTTGTAGCCGAAATGATAGCGAATGAGTATTTGTCGGGAGCAGGAGCAATGGCAATCATCTGAAATGCTCCATTATGGATGTCTTATTTCTCCCTTCTCGCTACAAAACACTTAAATGCTTTCTGATATGACGTCAGTGTTGTCACTTAGCAACCATTTACATTTTTTAAATAAATTCATTTCGAAACTTTGAAAGTAATTCACAAAATAAGTACAACATTACATTCAGCATTTTATCACTTTATATTGGAGAAGTAAGACAGAAATCAGCAAGCAACATAAAAAACCACAAAATTTAATTTATAATATTACAATTGAAAATTTATGTCGTGAAAGACCTATGAAAATTAACTTATGATATTGCAGTTGAAGATTTATACTGAGTAATGGCCCAAAAATTTTGCAATTCGAAAAAATAGTGCAAATTTTCCTACATTTTAACAAAAATTAAATTAAATTTTTCGAAAGATTACATTTTTTTGACAAATTTAAGAAATTTTTGACACAAAAAGTTTGACTAAAATGAGAAGGGACGTGTAAAGAACTAAACTATAAGTCCCGTCGAGAGTTTCTTACATCTGAAATATTAACAAAGGAGCACTCATTGTTTATGGGGAGTTATGTATTGGAATAAAGTGTTAGAAAGATGATTTCTGGTGATAACTATATCAGTACATTCCTTGAAAACACATTAACCTTGCAATGCAACTTAACCGTTTATTTAGAATCCATCTAGAGAAGTCATAAATTAACAGCTTTTTCCTCTGGGAAATTTCTATTGTTTTCATCCTTCCTTGGATTCTGAATTTGCTAACTCCTTTTAGTCCGTGACAGCTGTTAGCTAGTTTCTTTCGTTTAAATTTGCATTTATTCATTAATGCTGTCCAAAATCCATTTAACTCACATGTTAGCTAACAAAACATGCCAATCAAACATATCAATAATCAAGTTTGATGTCGGTTGGAATGTGTATGGTTATCATTCCAAACATGGATGAATAATGTATGACGACGTCAAATCAACGGTAATATTTCGAAAGTCGAAGCAATAATTAGCATGATACGATGTTCATATATATTTCAATCACTAATTGAAGCCCTGAGGTAAAATTACCCATGGGATGTAGAAGTTCATTTCGTTTCAATATATGTTGAAAATTTTCTGACCAGATTTCAGTTTCACAAGTGCCAATGGAAGTATGAAGAATGTGGTAAAAGATGTGCAAACATGATGTGATTAAACGGAAATTGAAATGCGAACAAAAACAAAAAGGAGATGGATTCTATTTTTCAATTAAAAGACGACTCCCTTTATCTAAATTGAACATGTTTCCAAACAACCTTATAATTTGGTTTGAAAGGAAAAACGACTAAATGTTGTATGTATAATTCTGCTCGAATTATTATAAACTTCAAAATGCTCATAAATTTAGATTCCTTTTTTTCTTTTCTGGAGCGAAAAAAAAAATCTAGCTCAGCTTCATTCAATTCCACTCCTGTACACTGAACTTAAACTTCCTTCAGCTCAGTTGC